AATTCAGTGGCATTAAGCACATTCATATTGTTATGCAACTGAGATTATAAATTTTTGAAACAGCCCTGTTTTGGGTCGGTACTAGTCAAGTCTGACTTGTCTGTGATAGAAGTCTTGACTGGGCTGGCAGATATTGTATCAGAAAGTGATGCGTTGTACAGGTTAACTCTCTTTAAATGTTGGATTGGCGTATTGTTTTAGTTTCACAACACTTTATCTTCCCTATGGTCCATAGAGTAAACAATCGAGAAAACTGACATATTTCACAGCACTTTCTGGTAACTGGACTCAAATATATTGCAAACCAAGGTTGGAAATCACTAAGTTACGTGGACAACCAAACTCCTTAATATCAAGTTTCTGATTTCTGTTCACATGATAACACTTGAAAGCTAACCTAAAGGACCAACTTTAGATAATGACACTATTCTGTTAATAAGTTACTGTTTTCAAGTGCTTATTTAGAAACTGCTCCTGTGCTAATCATTTGATTTATAATCCCCTTATTCTTAAAACAGTTCCACTTGGTAAAAGCCATCATTATTACTATTTTACAGATGAGGAAGTTGATACTTATCATAGCTAGGATCAAACACAGGTGGTAAATGACAGAAACAGAATTCTGCCTTTATCCATTCAACTGACCTCTCTTTTGGGTCTCTCAAATGCTATTCAGAATAAAATCTAAGGCTAACAAAGTAACTAACATACAGAAGGTATGCTCCTTCATTAAGCTATTCAAAAATACAATCATGTTTAGGTGATATTGTGTTAATTTATTTTAACTTCCTGGTGGAAACCAGGAAGAAAAGCCATGTAAAACATCATTTAAATATAGATTAAATTCAAGTTATTCATCTTGTTATCAAATTGGTGGGTAAATGTTTCTCTGTGAAATTGTGTAGCAGGATGCATCCTTGCCCCGGCTAAATATCACATCAGTCTTAATTATTTAATAGGCAGGCAGGGTGAAGAAGCTCTTGTTTATTCTGCTTCACTATACTGAGCAATGACGAAGAAAACAGCGTAAATCTCATTTTTAAATTGTCTCCTGTTTTTCTCTAAAAGATGGATTGTAGAAATTTAAAAAAAGAGAGATGTCACAATCTATATAAAAACTCAGTTTTATATAGCTTTTGGAGAGGCCATGTAGCAGATGGCTCTTAGTCAGAACTGGTGTGAATTCTGAGTTTGCTTATGAGCTTGAGCAAGTTTCTTAGTTCCTCTGATCCTCATCAGCTTTCTCTCCTTCATAGCTGAGATCATAATACCCACCTCACCTTACCTAGTACCCAGTAAATATTAGCCTTCCCCTCTCTGTTTCCCACCACCCCTTGTCATGCACAGGTAATTATTGAAAATATGTTGCAGTATTGTCAGCTTGATCATAGCTCATGGCATGGTGGAATTATAATATTTATGGGGCATCTAATATGTGGCAGGCTTTAGAAGATAAGAAATATCCTTGCCCTCCCAGAGCTTATGATCTCAGGAGGAGCAAACAGGACAAAAAGCAAGCATAGAACAGTACAATGTATTACATTCTCATTTGGGTGATAACTTGCTAGTTCTATCTTAGCCTTATTCCTGTTGCATTATAAGACTAGCTGTTGCAAAAAGTAGTTTTGAAATCATAAACTACTAAGATATTAAGGTCACTTAGAAATGCTGTGGCATTTATCCAGTGGTCCATTACTAATTCAAAATGACTGGCAGTCATTATAAAGCAGCCAGTCATGCTGAATTTGACAGCAGTCCTACATTCAGATATGTGAGATGTCATGTTTGGTGTATAAATTGGCAAGTATGAATTTTTCTTCTTCCTAAAGTATGAAGGCTTAACCTCTGCTGCTGATCTCTGCACCTGCCATGGGTCATGAAAACACCTGAGGCTCTGTCCCTACCACATTTTTTGTCACCCTTCCAGTCCCACAGTCTGTAGGCACCAATTCTGTTCACAGATCTGAAAGCTAGTCCTCTTCCATTCACCTGGTTTCTAACTGGGTAATGAAACCTGGTCTGGGTCATGTATTCACTCAACACGACTTACTGAATATACATGGTGCTGACATGAGCAAAATCAGATATGGGAGCTCCCTAGGGTAAGCTAATCTTTTGTTACTCTGGGCCAGCTAAAGATTCAATGTCACTTTAGACCATTATACTTTAAATATTTGTTTCCAACTTTTATTTATTACTAGAGATGAAACCCAGGGGTGCTTAAACACTGAGCTACATCTCCAACCCTTTTTTTATTTTTTTATTTTGTGTTAGGGCTTCACTAATTTGTTGAGGCTGACCTTGAATTTACCACCCTCCTGCCTCACCTTCCCAAGCCACTCGGATTACTGGTGTATACCACAACGCCCAGCTATTCACAATATTTTAAAAAGAGAAAAAGCCACACATTGTATGGAAAGAGGCTAGCCAAAGAACCCCCTCTAGTTCCCCCTTACACCAGTTCCCAGGATCTCAACTGATCCTAAGAAAATAGCCAGATTCCTTATCTTGCCCCCCAGTCACTTTCAGTACTCTTTAATCCAGCCCTGGAAAGACACACTGGGATAGATCCTTGGAATATAGATAAGAAAGACACTGCCCCAGCTCTCAAGGATTTGAGGCAATAGCTTAACAAATACCATAAAGTAGTGTGGGAGAAATATTTGTAAATGTGTCCCTGGAACAGAGAAAGGGGAGCCATGAATTCAGTCTGTGATGGTCAGAGTGGCTTGTAGAGGCAATTCCAGAATAGAACAGATGATGAAGTGGAAAGTCCCTCTTTTAAGTTCTTGGTTTTAAATTTTTCAAATTGATGATAGGGGAGACTTTAATTTTATGTAACTTAAAGCCTAAAACATAGATAGCACAAGGCAGAGTGAATGAGTACAATATTGCTATGACTCCAGGCAGAACAGACTTGCAAAGTGACGTTGTAGGACCTCACATTTACCCATTACTGGTCATTTGACTTCAGTCTGGTGGTAGCTCAGTGGTAGAGCCCTTATCTAGCATGTGTGAGGCCCTGGGTTTCCATGCCCAGCACCTCAAAATGAACAACAACAACAAAAAGATTCTTGACATCTTGCTAGATCTTTCCTAAGATTTTATGTAACCTCACAGTAAGACAAACACACAAATGGAAAACTCGTCTCAGATTCCAGTAATTGTTTGCTCTATCTCAGTGTAAGTTTGGTCCACCTCCTCTATCTCTATTTACCAGAAGGAAGTACGAACATCTAAACTCATTTGCTTTCACAGTGAAAACCTTGGGCCCTTTTGTTTTTCTATCAGAAAGCAGATTGTCACCTGCTATCCTTAATCCTTAGTCACTTAGGAGATTTCCTTATTGGGAATTCAGGAAAGGAGCTCTTTAAAAAAAGAAGGAAATTTTTAGTGTTATGCTTCTTATGTGCAAATCTTCCAGAACACATTTTTAGGTTACCTTAGAATTGACTTTTTAAGTTAAAATGCACATGTCATGTGTCCTGCCCCTGGGAAGAAAATGCCTCTGTGGGGGGGTAGAGTAAGCTAGTTTGGTAACACTCATTAGCATAGCATGCTGGAGAGCCACTGAAGCAGCCGCCTGTCTCAGCAGCTGGGTCTGTCAGAATTGCTGTGACGGTCTTTGTCCTCTTTTTATCCTGCCTAATATGGATGATTTATTCTATTCTGAGAAGCTTTGCCATTTAGTATTTTTACATTTCATTCTTCCAGCTTGGTACTTTTGTGTTCTTCTGAGGAGGAAGAAAGAGGATAACTTTTGCTACAGTTTCTAAAATTAGTTTGAATGATTTCATTTTTTGCCTGTATAAAGAAACAGAGCCACATTGTGTTGTTCCTCTTGCTTGACAGCCATGGCTTCCCCCTGAGATGACAAGTAATCATTATGAGCACTTTCTTTAAGTTCTACATTTATATCTTCTCAGCAAAATATTCCTCGGCCTTAAATCTAAACAGAAAAGAGGACTGACACTCATTTATTAACATGATGGAAAATGATCAGCCTACCTCAAAGAAATGCAAAATAAAACAACAGTAAGGTCGTTTTTTTCATGTGTGGAATTGGCAAAGCTTTTTTGTTTGTTTGTTTGTTTTCTTTTGAGCGTGTGTGTGTGTGTGTGTGTGTGTGTATTTTGGTGAGGAGTATTAAGTGATAACTCAAATCTATCGAGGATGCTGTGATATATTGTTTGCAAAAAAGATAATCGGTATAACTTTCTTGGGAAAACAAGTTGTTGTAATTTGAGGCTTAAAAGGTTCATGCTCTTTGACTCAGTGCTCTTGTTTTGGAATTCTGTGTAAAAGAAATCACATGAACAGAGTATGGAGATGTTGACAGCATTGTTAGTAATTTTAGAAAGAGAATCTATGATCAGTAGGGAAGAGAGTTTGTAAACTATGACATATCCATGTACAAACTATCACGCTTCTATCAAAAATGATGTTTAAGAGAAACTTAAACAACAGGAAAGCCCATAATATATAATAGGAGACAAACACAGACCTAAGTGTTGTGCCACTGGATTGAACAATGGTGTAACTGCAAAAATAGTGGGTAAGCAAACAACAAAATCAACGTCAAAGCTGGATGGAGAAAACTGTCGTAGACACCCAGTCTTTTTCTGCCATGTCCCCTGTGTATCCTAAGAAGTACACATGTTTTCAGTGAAGTTTTCTATAGTAAAGTGACTGGTGCCTCAGCAATAATACTCATTTCATTCTCCACTAAAAATTGGATGCTTTGTGAATTACTGTTGTGCTGAGATTAAATGTGTAACTTGGGATGTGATTTCTCTCCCTGGGTATCAGTCGACAACTTTTGTGAGAGGACCCGAAGGTGATGTCTTTAACACCCCTCACTTTTTAAAGAAGTTGTCTTTTTCATCTTTGTTTCATATAATTATAATATATGTTAGAAATTAGAACCATATAAGTGGATAAATTATCTTGTAGTCCTCTGATACATAAAATATGACAATATGTTTATGATTTCTCTTTAGGAATTCCTCAAATTGAAACTAATTGCAGAGTTTCTGGTTGACCAGCATTCATAGGGTAAGATTAACATCCTGAATTGTGAACACATGGTAAAAATAATTACAATTAGGTTGGTAGCTTGGGGCAAGTAAGTACAGAAAGAGATTGATATTCTTATAGATGTTTTGAGTAAAATCATTTTAGTGTTTTTAAACCAGTGAAGCTAAAATTGAAATTAGAATGTATTTTAATAAAAATGTCATTTTCCTGTCCTTTGTGGGTTTTGCAAGCAGGAAAGTATACCTGTGTGTGTGTGGGGGGGGTGTATTTGTCACTTTCTTGACATTAAAGGTCTGAGGAATTAAGTCCCTCTCTCCTGAGTTTTGTCTTAGGTAGCATTTTTAATGCATAGAATCAACACATCATTTTTCTGTGAATAAAGAGTGGCCGTGCTTTCCTTGGGTAGGCAAAATCAGAAATAAACAAGCCCTATCTTCTGTGCTTCCTGCAGAAACTCTTCTTCTAATTGTGCAAGATTAACCTTAAGTTAGCTCTGTGGCAGGGCTCTTGACCTTGACACGATGAATGATGAGTGTGCATGGTGTTAAATAGCACAGCTTTCCAGTGTTGTGATTACAGCATGTGTCTTAAAGCACCCCCCCAGTTCTGGACATATCGCCCAGGTGAACAGCGGTGAGGATAGTGGGTCTGTTACCTACTACATTTTGAACACTCTTCTTTTTATAGATGAAGGTAAAAATCCTTTGAATTTTTGGGTATGTCCATATTTCCATGCTGATTCTTCAAATTGACTGTAAAATTTTTAAAGCTGATAACATCTCTTGCCATCCCTCTACTTGACCCTCTGTTTGACCGACCCTCTGTGGCTCTTCCATCACTCCTGGATTTGTTATACAGACTCTTTCCCTAGGCTGAAACCTATCACTCTCTTCCTTTCCCCAGGCTCCTGACATCCCAGCCAGAGTGGCTTCTGTTCTAATCTTTACTCGTCTATGAGCCTTTTCTACTTGTCCTGTGATTGGCTTTGTTTCATTCTCCATCTATAGTAGTTCCTCTAAAGAGGCTTCCCAGACCCCCGGTCTACAGCAGCTTTCTAGTCTTTATGGCATTTTTGATCTGTATTGTGCTATGTGCTAGTTATTGTCTCTTCCCTCACAACAGTGAAATCCAAAAGAGCAAAGAGTTGGTCTGTCTTGCACAGCTTTATTTTTCTAACTCTTAGAACTCCTGGTACATAACAGGCTTTCTAAGTATTTATTGCATGAACAGACTAAAATCTCCCTCTGTTTTTGGTTGATGATGCCGTTCAGTGATGTTCCAGCTATTCTCTGGGCATTTGAGTAGAACCAAATGTAATATTTATTAGATTTACCCCATCATCCCACTCATTTGGGCACTGAAATGACAGTATTAGGTGGTATACAACATTCAACTATGCATTTCTTCTCTACAGTGGGATCATGATCCTGGGAAAGGAGAGAGAAGCCCTCATATTCTATCGCAGGGTGTCCAGCACCTCACCAGGGTATTCTTGACTGCTCAGAGGGATAAGCCTCCTAAGAAATTAAAGTCTAGAATAATTAGAAAAGATCAAAAGACAAAGTCAGAAAGGATAGTTTTAAAGACAGCCCTGATAGTCTAGTCCACACAGGAATGGGAGCTAGACAACTAGAAAATGGCTCCTGTAGTTTATTTAAGGGAGTACATCAAAGACAGGGGTAAGGTTTCAGGGGTGGAGTCTTGCTTCCTGATGTCTTGCAGTCAACAGGTTAATTGACATCTTGGCAGGTCACACCCATCTTAGAGAGGCTGTGTGGGACATGGCAGAGTGGAATAGAAATTCACAATGACTCTGGGCAGTCAACCAAAGGAAATGTCTACTGGAAGTTCCTAGACACCAGATTATCCTATCTGTTAGGCTACAATGTGCAGCACAGTGCACACACAGCCCACAGATGACTCGAGACAATATTCTTTTCGTATGCCTTCGTGGTATCTAGCCTCTGCAATTAATAAACATTATGTTTTTAAGTATTATTAGATCTGACAAAAGCTAAAATATGTCTTTCATTTAAATTTATAGTTTAATGAAAATTTCTCCAACTATTTACAATTTTACATTTGTTTTATGGGAAGACCTATTACTAATTAGGTATCTAAAATGTATGCCACTAAGCTCCCAGATCTTTTCAAATTAGGACCCTTAGTTCTAAGCCCATGATTATAGTGAAGCCACTAAAATGCGTCTGAAATTGTTTCTTTATTTATAGAAAATGAACCCTGTTTTCAATGGGGTCTTCCTGGATTAAATAGAACATATAATTCTGCTCTTGGGACAGGTAGGTCACCTGTGGAAGTCTGAAGAGAAGAAATGGAATGCTATGGTGTGGTTTCCCAGAGACTGCAGAGAGGTTTGGCCCTACTTTATTATGGCCTGCTTACTTGAGTGGGGTGTCGGAAAGTATTTTTTAAAACCATGAAAGTTGGAGGATTTGATGTTGGCTTCTGTTTTATACATTCTAAGAATATTACTTATTTATGTGTGGTGCTGAGAATCTCGAACCCTGTGCCTCACACATGCTAGGCAAGCACTCTACCACTGAGCCACAACCCCAGCCTCAATACCTTCTAAGAATTATCCAGCTACTGGAAGCTATGTTCTGGTATAAATATTTCAATATGTAACTGTTACATATTGAGGTCTTTTCCTAAAAAGAAAATTTTCACCTAAATTAGATATATGATATATTCTGTTATCACCAGAAACCAAGAAAAGTGAAATGGTGTTCCTTGAAGTTCAGAAGAACTCAGATTCCACTAGGATTTCTAGAGTTGTTCCTATGGTCTTAATTCATTCTATAACTTACTTATTTATTTTATTTATTTTTTTCTGCAGTTTATTATCAATAACTTTCTCCTGGGGCTTCAGAGAGTTTCATACTCTTTAGAATATTGTGTATGATTGTTTCACAGACCCATTTCTACTTTACAGTTTGGGGTAGGAAATTGCTAAATAGTAGTGACACATTTCTATTTTTTGCCTTCCCTCTATAATTTGACTATGTCAGTTTCTTTCCATGAAATTAGATTTATGTGCCCCAGAAATATTTGCTTTTTCTTTACCTCACTAATTCTGCTTCTCTGTCCTTTTTTACTCTTCTTCATCTGATGATCCTTCCTCATATGGACAGAGATTTGGTTTTCACTCATTAAATTATTTTCCTCAAAGACTACTTTACTGAGGAACCATTGGCTACTTAAATGTTTATGGCATCCTATGATGAATTAAAAGTGACTGCAAATACTTAGCAATTCCTCCCATCTGTTTCCCTGCCTTTGACTCTCTACTGGCTCTGTTATATTTTTGGATCAACAGGATGTGGCAGAAGTGGGGGTGTAGTAATTTCTAAGACTGGGCCTTAAGAGACTTGCAAATTCTGAATTTGTATGCATAGAACATTCCCTCTCAAAACCTCCCCTTTGCTGTGAGGAAGCCTAAAGAATCAATGCGGAGACTGCCAAGGGCCCAGTCAATAGCACAAGTTGAGCCCTGCAACAAGCAGGCAGCCCAGGTACCAGTGTGGCATAGAGGCATGTTGAACCTTCTAGCCACCCCAGCATCCCAATGAATACCAAGCGAAATGAGACTGCCTCATCATCCTACAGAATTATCAGATACAGCGAATCATTATTTTAATCACTAAGTTTTGGTATGGCTTGTTACACAAAATAAATAAGTAAAACCAAAAATTGGTACCTAGAAGTGAGGTACTACCATAACAAAACATCTGGCATTGGCTTTGGGAAAAGGAAGCGGTGAAGGTCTGAAGGGTAGTAAAACTAGTATTAATGGTGTATAAAGGTCAGTGAGGAAATTGCTATTGGAGGATATAAAATAGCACTCTTATGTTTTATTGGCAGAAAATTGGCTGAACCATCACCTACAAATCACATAGAAAATGAACCTAACAACCTTGTGGATCTAGGGTAGGAGATTTTTCAGCAGAATATTGAAAGCACCAACTAATAACTTCATTTTTTAACCACCTATGATCAAAGTTTTGCAAGAAAGAGATGCATTAAAGAACAAACTGTCCAGATTGTAAGCAGACTTTAGAGGAAATATTTCCAATCCAGAATTTTCTAGATATGGAAATAAAACTGTTTCTTATTCCTAGCAACCTTCTCTACTCAACAAAAGATACTCAAAGAAGGAAATGGTCTCAGGTCCAAAGATCAGATCCAGAGCACTATTACCAGCAAAACTTGGTCTCAAGGTGAAAATAAAAGCAAGGACACAGCTATAAAACCCTATATGATAACCTCCTAGATATCTCTGCTGCATGGAGCGGCTTCTAAAAATCTTAAGGATGCTGCCCTGATTTATAAGACACAAGCCTGGCCTTTAAGCCTGAATTTGATGTGATGGTATATGAATGTTGGGGGAGAGGGCTACTGTGCTTTCTGTGGAGAAGAGATGTAAGTTATTTATGGAAGATTTATGGAATTATTTATGGATAGTAGTGTATTAAACATAGCTGCAAATTCTTCGTCATTTCACTACTGAGAGGTGTTCTCTGCATCCCATCCCCTTGAATCTGAGCTGGCCTTGTATCTCCCTTGACTAATAGATTTTCATGGACACAGCACTGTGTAACTTCAAATGCTATGCCCTAAAAAGTCCACAGCTTTAATTTTTGTGCTTATAACACACTGTCTTAGAATCCAGCCACCATGTTCATTGAGGACACTCAAAGCACCACACTGACTCTCATATGAAGAAGTTATGAGCCAGCAGTATAATGAACAAATGAGGTCATTTTGGACCTTCCAGCCATCTTTGTGCTGGCCAACACCATGAAATACAAGAATCCCCAACAAAATCTCAAGAAATAAAACCTTAATGTTTTTTAAAGCCATTAAATTGCAGAATATGCTGAACAGTTAATCAAAAGTCCTTCCATCTATATACTACTGAGTTCTAGCCACTCTTTCACCACTTGGGCCAGCTCAAAGTCTTTATCATCTTAGAATATGTATAAATATCTGAAATTTTTCATATAATTTGCATTTTTGTACATTATATTTATTGTATAAGTATTTACTATGCACCACATGCTACAAAACTGTAAGGTATTATATTAGCATAGGAACAAAATTGGAATTCATTTGACTCCCACTCTGGACCTCCATCAGATGTCCAGTGTTGTTACATGGTATTGAATTTTAATTTATAATAAGTATTTTAGTGAGCTTCCTGTTACTGTGACAGAGCATCTGAGATAATCAATTAAAAAAGAAGAAAAGAGTATTTTGGTTTGCAGTTTTGGAGGTTTCAGTCCTTGATCAGTTGGCCTTATTGCAAGGAAGTACATCATGGCTAGAGCATGTGGCGGAGGAAACTGCTCATGGTATCATGGCCAGGAAGTGAAAGAGAGAAACTATGGGGAGGCTGCCAGCGCCTCACCAGGGTGTCTTTTTTCCTGTGTAGGAGGGAAAAAGGACCATGGGAGAAAATAAGTCATAAATAATTAGTGGAGAACGAAAGACAGAGTCAGAAAAATAGTTTTAAAGGAGAGCATCTGATAGGCCCAGCCCACACAGGAGCTGAAGCTGGACAATTAGAAAATGGTCCCCTGATTTATTTAAAAGGGGTACAACAAAGGCAGGGATAAGGCTTCATGGGTGGAGTCTTGCTTCTTGATGTCTTGCAGCAACAGGTTGATTGGCATCTTGGCAGGTCACACCCATCTCTGAGAGGCTGTGTGGCTACAGCAGGACACCCCATGTCCTGTGCTGTGTGGGACCTGGGGCAGAGCTTGAATAGGGTCACATGTGTTTGGGTGATCCTGGCCAAAAGAAATTTCCACTGGAAGTTCCCAGACACCAGATTCTCCTATTCACTAGGCTATGATACTGATGTAGTTCATTCACAGCCCATGGACGGTTCTCCACAAGAAACAGCAAAGGGTCCAGGATCCCATTATCCCCTTGAAGGTCATTCCCCCGCACCCACTCACCTGACTTACTTTCTCTAGGTGTACTTTTTTTTTCCCCATAGTTATAGATGGAGACTTGTTTATTTTTTTAATATGGTGCTGAGGATCAAACCCAGTACCTCACACATGCTCAGCAATCACTCTACCATTGAGCCCTAGGAGCCACTTTTTAAAGGTTCTACCACCTCCCAAGGTGGGGGATCTAACTTCTGACACAGGGCCTTTGGAAGATTTTTAAGATCCAAAATATAGCAGTGACTATTTCATTCTTTGCTTTCTTTTCAAGCATATTATAAAATTTACACATATTATTTCTTTACCCCATATTGAAACAGATTTTCAGACTTTTTAGTCCCTCCTCCTTCAGTCTGTCCTGCCAGTGACTCATTATTCTACTCCTCACATACCCGAGTCTCTGAAGCTCTAACTATAGTTGGGAGAGAATGGAGCATTGTAGACATCTAGTGTAATTGCCAAGAAGATTTAAAAGATATGCATTTTTTCCCCAGATAATTTATTGCCAATCTATTTTACAAGTTTTCTCCTCCTGAGGAAAATTTTTGCCTCACCTAGACCACTTGGATTGTTCTGTGGGGATAGGGCTTGTGATTAGGTTTCTTTTAAAAGTGCCCCCAATGTGAAGCCAAAGTTGAAAACTGCTCTCTCAAAACTGTGATTCTCAAAAGGTGATCCCTGGACCAGTAGCAACCAATTTAGAATTTGTTAGAACTACCTTATGAACCAGAAACTCTGAAGGTAGGATCCTATCACTTTATGTGTTTTGTTTTCCAGATAGGGTCTTGCTAAGTTGCCAAGGCTGGCCTTGGACTTGCTATCCTCCGGCCTCAGCCTCCTGAGTAGCTGAGATCCTTGGCACCATGGCAAGCTCACTTTTTGTTTTAATAAGCTCTCACAATTTTTATGGACATTAATATTAAAGAAACATTCTACCAGATAAATCTATCTCTTAGTTTCTTTCTAGGTCTCTAAACTATGACCAAGTTTGGAAAGGATGTTTGTTATCTGAAAGTCTGTGTACTGACAAGATCTGAAGGAACTGGTAAGGGACATAAGGGAACAGATATATCAAGTATCCTTGCTACTAGTGATCACATAAATACAGGCAAAATGCTAAATGCTGGGCTTCAGATTTCTGAAGTGTAGTTAAATGGGTTATTTTAGTATAAAGAAGAGGGGCAAATAATTCAGAGGTACAGATACATTATTTTCTAAGGAGATAAATAAAAAGAGGCAAATTTAAATTATAGTTATAGTTTTGACAGAATGTAAGGTATTTTTTAAATCAAGTTTCAGTGAGAGTAGTGTAGGGAACCCCGGATTTCTGGGATCAAAGGACAGATCTTTGAAAAAGCATGTTGTTCTCAGCATACAATGACTCTAAATACCATCTGATCGTCATTTATTTATTTTTTCACTGGTTATTTTGGAAATGCTTTCAAAGTAAAATAAGGTCTACTGGGAAATAAAGATGCCTAAGTTGAGTGGTGTTGTTCCAGTCTTAGAGACTTTGGGATGAGATTGTCAGATGAATTCATGTGTTTTGAAAAGCTTTTATGATTTTTTAATGAGATTTAAAAGCTAAAGGAATGGGATTAAGACCATAAAATCTGGTACTCTTAACATAATTTCTTTGAACTAATTTAGTGCATTTGTGTATTAGAAATAGGGATTTCATTTGGATTGAATCCTCATTCTTTGCCAAAATATGGTTTGGAAAATGTTTAGGGCACATGCAAACTGTATTAAAAGGTATAATGGCTCTAATTCCAATTAAGTACTTCAATTAGAAAAATTAGCAGCATTTGATAGGTAAGAATGCTTGAAAGTTTTCATGTATCCTTTAATCAAGTTGCTGTGTATTTAAATATTAAGTCTTAGATAATTCAGTAAAAATATTTAGTAGAAAAATATTTATGCTAAGAGAATAGGTTACATGGTATGTATCCATAAAACTGAGATGTTGCAGTAAACTACATTTGCATCCTTGTTTTTCAAGATTATAATAGAACTCAGTTACAATGTGGATGTTGGGGGAAGAGCTCTATAACTTTTTCTCCAGCTTTTGAGAAACAGACCTCAGCACAGCTCATTGGATTTACTGAGATATTACCTTGTGATATGACATTGACAAGGCTCAGGGTTGGAGTTCGTAAGTTCCAATTGAAGTTGTTTTTTGATGGTTTTGTTGCTTTGAGCAAGGTATTTTCCACTAACAATAAATTCTTATTTGCTCTTATTGACAAGGAACTCATCAAGGGAAATCTGAATTAGGTGATTACAGGAAAAGTACATAATTTTTAAAAAGGCAAACAGGAAAGTCCTTTCCAATTCATTTTCAGATGGAATGAATATAGCAAACATGTTCAGGAGTGGTTCAATGGTAGATTGATAGTAGTTTCTTATTATGATAATTTAAAATTGTTACTGTTAGTTGGAGGTTGATATCTCTCTTTCATAAACATACTGCCTATAAAGTAGGAAATGTATTTGTAATATTAAAGGAAAACTTGTGTAAGGAGCATCATGATGAGGGAGTAGCATTCTGGAAATTATAGATGTAGTTCTGTGGAAGAGCATGTAAAGTGTGTCACAATCAGAGTGTGCATATGTGTGTGCTGGCTATTGAGCCCAAGGCTCATGTCTGCTGAGCACACATTCTACCTCTGAACTCCACCCTAGTGCTCCATAAGTCTTTATCCTGCTGTCTGCTTCTAAATGCTGTTATGTTGTAAATTTATTTTCCGGTAGTGCTGAGTTAGTGCACAGATAGGTTGTCTGATATTCTAATAGAGCTTTCTAACCCCATACAATTTGGGGCAAATACTCTTTGCTAGAATTCAAATACATAATATTTTATTTAAAAAAATATATATATATATATAATCTTAAGGGAAAATAAAACCTTCCCAGCAACTTTTTTGAGTTTCCATGGACACTAAAAATATATTTTTTCAGACTCAATTTTTTTAATATAGCATTTCAGAGTTTTCCTGCAGTTCATCTGTCACAAGTGATTGTAGTATATGCAGAGAATGGCTTTTGTTAACCTACCGAATTTAAAAAAAAAAAAAAAAAACTATGTACATACTAATATATGTAATAACAAATTCAGGGAATTTTTAGCCATATTTCTGAGTTGTGTATGAGAAAGTCTTCTTGCCTTGTGACTTTTTCTAATGAAACTGGTAGACTAAATTTTTGGAGTATATATATTTGGATAGAAATGTGGTTTTAAATTAGAGTGCAGAAATTACATGGTTTGACAAGCCATCTGAGAAATGCAAATAAGACCAACTGTGTATGAGAGAAATTAACATATGCAAACTATTTGGGAATAGCTAAGTGTTATATATACAGAATTTTAAAACATGTTGGACCTAAATTTCTGTAGAAACTACTCTGTAATTGAAAAGGGAGTTCAGGGTATGAACATGGTCTGATGGGTATGGGTGGGGACTGGTATATACAGCTTTGCCAGGATGTGCCTCTGAGTTGAAAGTAAACTAACCTATGATAATCTATTGGCCATATCATGTCTCCTGATGGAGAGGGTCTGGAAAGACAGTTTCTGCAATGTTTTTGTTCATTTGAATGAATATATGTCTTTCAAGATACTTATGCTTTCTCATAGAATGAAGACAAACTCAGAGATGGTGTGTCTAAGAAACTTCAAAAGGTGTAGACCCCCTGATTGAAGCATAGCTGATTTATTTGATTCATTTTTCCCATTTTAGTAAGTATAAATACTTAATAATTATTTTGGTCAGTGTTGGCTAGTATTCCTTGTTGAGTAAATCTCTGTTGTCTGCCAAATACCTTTATCATTATTTGAACTGTTTGTTTCATTCTTCCACAGTTTCAGTTGCATAAAAGAATTTAATTCTCAGGTCCTTAGAGGACAAATATGTCACCATAAACTCAGAGCTGGAAAAGCCCTTAGAGATTATCTGGTTCATTCTCTTTATATATTGCAAGAAATTCCTTTACAGCATCCCCGAGGGATGGTCATTTTATTCATCTAGCCCCAGCTAGTGACAGGGAGCTAAACTGTTTCAAAGATTTGATATTCTACCAACAAATTGAAGCAACTCTCTAAATCTTCTACCCACCCAGTTTGCATCTGAAACAAATCCATTATTTCTTTTATTCATGAGGTAATTGCACAAAAATGTAAAGATAAGTTCTCATCTTTCCTAGTCATCCTTTATCTCAGCTGAATGTCATTGATTCCCTGTATCCCTCTGCCGAGAATGGTTTTAGATGGCAGCTCCTGATGATTTTGTTGCCTTTTCTGTCTTCAGCCCATAACTGAGCATTAAGTTCCAGGTGTGATTTCACCAGACAGGCACAAAAGACCTGTCACCCTTTTATCTGGGTTCACAAATTAATGTGGCCAAAGGCTATAAATCACTGTTTTAGCGTAATAGCTATTATACAAGTAGCTGAAATTATGCATACATGTCAGTTAAAATTCATAGATATTCTTAACATGTTCTTTCATCCAGCAATATTTCTACTATTCTCCCCACCCATCATGCTTATGGTATTTTGGGGTCTAAGTCCACAATTACATATTTATCTCATGTAATCCTCTTGTTTTTGGTTTTTGTCTTGTCTTGACATGCAATTATGGTTAACCACGGTGGGGGCAATGCAGAATGGGAGGAATTGAGAGTCATACCCACTAACCTAGAGTAAGGGAGGGAAGCTCTGGAGAAGTTATATAATCAAGTCACAGGGCTTAGGAGGAAGTGGAATACATATATTCAATAAATGCCCAGAGAGAATATAGGCAGAAAGTGGCACTGCAGTTCAGAAATTAAAATCAGGGATCATGGGATTTCTAGCAAAAGGTAGAGAGCATGAAGGAATAGGGCTCAGAGTCAGATGGTCAGGAATAAGTTCAGACCTGCAAAAGAGAAGATGCTTATTAACAGCATGCCTTTGTGATGGGATTCCTTGAAAGGCAGGAACTAGTCTCCCATGAGAGCAAGAAAGGTTTCTTTTGAGGGTGCTACAGGTAACAGGTTATCTAACAAGAAACTCAGGCCCAGGAAAGAAACATCAGACTCAAGAAAGCCAAGAGCAGGGCTGGGGATGTGGCTCAAGCGATAGCATGCTCACCTGGCATGCGCGGGGCACTGGGTTCGATCCTCAGCACCACATAAAAATAAAGACGTTGTGTCCACCAAAAATTGAAAAGTAAATATTAAAAAAAAAAAAAGAAAGCCAAGAGCAGCCCCTGAGCACAATTAGAGCTGGACTCTCCAGCAAACAGCAACAGTGCTACCATGGTCTCTTTTTTTCTTTTTCTTATCAGACACTTCATAAGCTCCAAATGTTTCCTTTTATCTTATTCTGCACCAACTTATAGGTGGTCTGGATTTTACTAATTAGCAATTGTTTAAACAATTTATACAAATGTGGCTAAACAGAAATTCTCAGGAGAACTGTCTGAATCCTTTTCAAGGTACAGATATAAAATGTGTCTTGTTTTTCTAAAGGCAAAAATAATAATAGAGTGTGCCTTAATCACTTATCTGTTAGCACTGCGACATTATGACATTAAACATGCCACATTATCAAGCCGAGGAAGTTGAATCTGTTCTGACTATAAAGTAGAAAATGTATTGAATCCCGAGGATTGAGTATTCTAACAGGGTTTTTCTTCCCTGTTCCTTTTTCAATCATTATTCTTATTTCCCAACTTTAAATACTCAGTTTTTCTTTCTTTCTTTTGGGGAGACGGGGTGGGGTGGGGGCAGTGCTGAGTATCAAACCCAGGGCCTCACACATGCTGGTCAAGTGCACTACCACTAGCCAAATCACCAGCCCAAATATGGTGTTTTTAAATACTCATATACTTAAATTGTAAAGCAAGAGCTGAGGAAAGGAGATGATACATTCGGTGACAGTTTGGGAAGAAATGGGTAGATTCCTGTAAGCCAAAGAGGGAAACCCTTATAAAGCCAACCTTGCACAAAAAAAAAAAAAAAAAAAAAAAAAAGTTCCTTTTTGTGTTTAGAACAACACTTAGGTTATAAATGATGTTCCAGACATGAGGTGCCATGCAGAAAGGAGCTTACTTAGACCTTCTAGAGAACATGGAATGTTACCATTAGAAATTGGTAGCACAAGAAAATTTGTTCCATATCACTTAAAAAAAGAAAACAAGAAAAAAATGGCTCCTGGATTTTAGTAACCCAACCTGGAGTTTAAACCAGGGAGGTAATTAAATAATTGCCCCAAGAACTACCCCCAAATTTCTTTACAGATCCACTCTACCTATCACCAAATGAGCCCCCATGTCAGGGACTTTACAGTGCAGGGTCGGTATGGCCTGTGTTTTCAAATGAAACCAGAAGGTTCATGTGCCCCATGATCAGCCTTGAGCTAAAAATCTACTTGGGTAGGGAATGTACATACAGGCATTAGAATGAAATGTACATGTGAGTATTTGTTTCAGTAGTGTTTCTTTTCTTTTCCTCACCAGTTTCTGTACTCGTGCAAAGGAGAGTCATGATTACACTAACAGAGCTAAAATGCTTAGCAGACGCCCAGTCATCTTATCACATCTTAAAGCCATGGTGGGACGTCTTCTGGTATTACATCACCCTCATCATGCTGTTGGTGGCTGTGCTGGCCGGAGCTCTCCAGCTCACTCAGAGCAGGGTCCTGTGCTGTCTCCCATGCAAAGTGGAATTTGACAATCACTGCGCTGTGCCTTGGGACCTCCTGAAAGCCAGCGTGAACACATCCTCTAATTCTGGGACACTGCTTCCGCTCCCCCTCCGAATCCAGAATGATCTCCACCGACAACAGTACTCCTACATCGATGCAGTCTGTTACGAGAAACAGCTCCATTGGTTTGCGAAGTTTTTCCCCTACCTGGTGCTCTTGCACACACTTATCTTTGCAGCCTGCAGCAACTTTTGGCTTCACTACCCCAGCACCAGTTCCAGGCTGGAGCATTTTGTGGCCATCCTTCACAAGTGCTTCGATTCTCCATGGACCACCCGCGCCCTGTCAGAAACAGTGGCTGAACAGTCAGTGAGGCCCCTGAAAGTCTCCAAGTCCAAGACTTTGCTTTCGTCCTCAGGGTGTTCAGCTGAGGTTGACTCCACCAAGCAGTCCCTGCCTTACCCACAGTCAGGGTTGGAGTCAGCCAGCATAGAAAGCCCAACTTCCAGTGTCCTGGACAAGAAGGAAGGTGAACAGGCAAAAGCCATCTTTGAGAAAGTGAAAAGGTTCCGTCTGCACGTGGAGCAGAAGGACATCATTTACCGGGTGTATCTGAAGCAGATAATAGTCAAAGTCATTTTGTTTGTCCTTATCATAACTTATGTTCCATATTTTTTGACCTACATTACTCTTGAAATTGACTGTTCAATCGACGTGCAGGCTTTTACAGGATATAAGCGCTACCAGTGTGTCTACTCCTTGGCAGAAATATTTAAAGTCCTGGCTTCATTTTATGTTATTTTGGTAATACTATACGGTCTCACCTCCTCCTATAGCTTATGGTGGATGCTGAGGAGTTCCCTGAAGCAATATTCCTTTGAGGCGTTAAGAGAAAAAAGCAACTACAGTGATATCCCGGACGTCAAGAATGACTTTGCCTTCATCCTCCATCTGGCTGACCAGTATGATCCACTTTATTCCAAACGCTTCTCCATATTCCTGTCAGAGGTCAGTGAGAACAAACTGAAGCAGATCAACCTTAACAACGAATGGACGGTTGAGAAACTGAAAAGTAAACTTGTGAAAAACTCCCAGGACAAGATAGAGCTGCATCTCTTTATGCTCAGTGGTCTTCCAGACAATGTGTTCGAGTTAACAGAAATGGAAGTGCTCAGCCTAGAGCTTATCCCTGAGGTCAAACTGCCCTCTGCAGTCTCGCAGTTGGTCAACCTCAAGGAGCTTCATATATACCATTCATCTCTGGTGGTAGACCATCCTGCACTGGCCTTTTTAGAGGAGAATTTAAAAATCCTCCGCCTGAAATTTACTGAAATGGGAAAAATCCCACGCTGGGTATTTCACCTGAAGAATCTCAAGGAACTTTACCTGTCAGGCTGTGTTCTCCCAGAGCAGTTGAGTACCATGCAGCTGGAGGGCTTTCAGGACCTAAAAAACCTGAGGACCCTCTACTTGAAGAGTAGCCTGTCTCGGATCCCCCAGGTGGTCACAGACCTCCTGCCTTCACTGCAGAAGCTGTCCCTTGACAATGAAGGAAGCAAACTGGTTGTGCTGAACAACTTGAAAAAGATGGTCAATTTGAAAAGCCTAGAACTGATCAGCTGTGACCTGGAACGCATTCCACACTCCATTTTTAGCCTGAACAATTTGCATGAGTTGGACCTAAAGGAAAATAACCTTAAAACTGTGGAAGAGATCATTAGCTTTCAGCATCTTCAGAATCTTTCCTGCTTAAAACTGTGGCACAATAACATTGCTTATATTCCTGCCCAGATCGGAGCATTATCTAACCTAGAGCAGCTCTCTTTGGATCATAATAATATTGAGAATCTGCCCTTGCAGCTTTTTCTATGCACCAAACTATATTATTTGGATCTAAGCTATAACCACCTGACCTTCATTCCAGAAGAAATCCAGTATCTGAGTAATTTGCAGTACTTTGCTGTGACCAACAACAATGTAAGTAAATCCATCCTTTATTCAGCCAGTCTTTTGAGGCTCTCTGCTGTGCTTGCAGTTTGTAACATAGAAGAAGAAAATGGACTTTATGACATATTAAACATTCTGTGAGCTTGAGCCCCAGCCCATGTGATCTTAGACAATTTACAAAAACACTGAACATCAGTTTCTTATATTAAGTTTTGATTTGTCATGCAGATTATATGATAAAATATACACATTGGCACAGTTTCTAGCACATGATAGTTGCTTGACAAATGTTAATTCTCTTTATTCTCTTTCTCCATTTTCTATAGAAACATCATAGTTACAGTGTTTTAAACTTACTAATTGTGGTAGAGCTTACTTTTTGTCTTGAGCACACAGAAAGTTTAATTTTCAGCCTTCCAAATCTGCCATCCAAGTAACTTTTTGTTTAAAAATGCTAAGATTATGAATTATTCATAAATCCTTCTGGAAAGGCAGTTAAAAAAGACTCAAGATCTGTATGAATATCTAGAAAGACAATTCAAAATGAAAGGCCTGGCTCTATAATGCAATACTGGGGCTTCTTGGAAGCTTTTTCCAGCATCCATGTATAAAAATGAACCATAATTTGCAAGAGTACAGCCAAGTTAAGGAAAATGTAACTTCACTGAAACAAGAAAAAACAAAATAAATGAGTAGTTTCCTAGGTTAAAATGTGAAGGAGGAAGGAAAAAATCCCTGCTACTCCAAAGAGCAAGGGAGTGAGGGTAATGTCCATATGGGGAGAAGGGGAACATAAATCAGGCTTGCCAAGAGATGAAACCGATCTTCCTCTACTTGAAAAATGGGCACTGCTATTTTCTTCTAACCCACCCCAAAATGTATTATCTTCTAGTCTTTTTGTAATTCACATTTTCTTTTTGCTAAACATAGCTATGAGCATGGAGTTGGCTAGTGAACATCATAATCATCAGACGTTGGTTTTGAAAACTGTAGTTGTTAGCAAAATGGGGAGATGAGAAGAAAATTCATGCCGATTTTTTAGAACCAGAAACTTTACTTATAAGTAAAAGGGGAGAGTCCATTAAGATAAATGAGAGATCTTTAGATTACAAGGCTTTGAAGCCAATTCAGGATTCAAGTCTGAACACCTGATTGGCACGGTTTCTGAACACCCATACTAGCTATAAGAGAGCTGGGGACACGAGAATCTGGTGGTGTTGGTTTCTCCAGTGGGAAGTAAGCTCTGATTTCTGCCAAGTCTCAGAGAGTTCTTTAGACACAGAACAGTGTTGGGCAGTCCCCCAGGTGGCCCTGGTGATAGGTATTCATTGACAAGGCAAGCCAGGGTTTCCTCCACAGGATGTAATAGTTGTTACCATAAACAACAACAAAACAAAATTACAAAAAAAATTAAATGTTTCCTTTCTTAATCATATTTTTGCTGCAGTGTTCCTCAGTACCTTTAACATGTGAAATACATTACGCTTCTCCAAGAGGGAGAGATGGTGTGTAACATCTGCCAAATGTGTTTGAGCAAGACACCTTTCTCCTAGTAACTTGTGGGAGGAATGTTCTATGAAACACACCCTGAAAAGCTGGATGGGGGCTATGTGTAGAAAGATAAAGGTCATGCACAGGGGATTGCAATAGGATGCCCAGAAGTAATAAGAGATAAGAGCATATAGCGGAGTGGGTCAGAATGGGGAGTACCTGGGAGTCTGCCCGCCTAGTTCATGTTTGATTCATCTGACAGTCACTAGGGTGACACTTGAAAGTGCTAGTTAGTCTGAACTGGTTCCTTCAAAGGAGGCTTTGATTGTGTGCTTGAAAGGGCTGGGAGAGGGCAACCAAGAAGCAAAACCCCATGGAAAGGCCTAACCAGTTATGATTTAGAAGTAGGAATGTAGATTTTAAAACAAGAGACAAAGATTCATATATTAGAGGAACACTGTTGATCTAGTCTGGAGATTGGAAGCCTATGGCCTGAGTGTCAAATCTGCACATAGCCTGTTTTTACATTGTCAAAAAAGAATAATGTTTCATGACACATGAAAATTATGTGAAATTCAAATTTTAGTGCCCAGAAATAAATCCAATTCTTTTCATTATTGGGCCTATATTACAAAAAATATATGCGTAATTGTTATATTTTGAATTTTATTACTTAAAAATGCATATAATTTTTTCTTTTGTTACATAAGTACCTACATAATGTCTTTAGGTTTTCCTCTTAGGTCCACAAAGCCTAGGATATTTATTCTTCTGGTCCTTTAAAGAAAACCTTTGCCAACCCCTACTCTAGGCCACTGCCCTTATTTTGCTAACACGGAAACAGGCTCAGACTGATTGACCTAGGTCTGAAGCTTCCAGGATGGAGCTGGTGTTGAGCCCACGTGTTCCAGTTCTTGTTTCCCTGAGCTTATGTCTCAAGTATATCTACCTCAAAGATGCCTTATGGGCAACAGCAGTGTGTGTGTGGTAGTGTGAGGTGAGAGAGGAAGAGGCAGGATCCATCCCTCTCCCAGTGACAGAGGTACCAGGTTATTGTGGCATCAATAGTGATGGAGAAACACAAGGTGGGGAGAGGGATTTAACTAGATGTGCTCAATCTTCCAAACCATTGCACTTTACACCCAGGTCTTTCAACTTCCACATTTATGTACCTTTTATGAACTCAAAACTCTAACCAGAAAGGGAATCACATAGAAATTCTCTATGGTACAGTGTGACAGTGCTTCTTGTTGTTTTGACATCACTACTTAAAACTGGAAATGTTGAGCCTTGTTTCTTGAAATGATTGAATTTATCGGTTTTGTTACTATGTGCTGGGCTGGGAGGTGAGGCTCAGTGGTAGAGCACCTGCCTAGCATGTGCAAGGCCCTGGGTTTAATTCCCAGCACCACAGAAGAATAGAAGAAAACAAGAACATGTCCTGAGGTAGTATATGGCATTGACCCCCACTTCCCTCCAAAAAAAGGAAGAAAGAAAATCTAACCTTGAGAAGGATTCTGAAGGAAAGTCCCACTCAGTCTTTGGGACACAGTGGAATATTTAATAATCAATGGCAAATGGAGACAGAGAAAGAGAATAATTTGTACTAGAGTCCCCAGTCCATTTTGCTGAAGACATTTGGTTGCCAGAGCTGTAGCCATTAGTTTTTCTAGTTTTTTCAGTTTATTTTATATATGTTTATATTATATATTATAGTTTGCTTTCAAACACCATTTTGTTTATAAAGTTTATCATCGCCCTAATGGTCTATAAATTTTTCTCATTTTTTGGAGAGGAAACCAGTAGGATACTTACTTCCTCCTCTCTGGCTCATGTGTCAAAGTCTAGGAAAGGAACATACTAAATGAACTAGGTATAAATTAATGATATGAAACATTTTTATAAAATTTATTGATGTAGGCAAAAATATATAACCTTCAAGGCAAACTCTTTTTTAAAGTTTGTAAGCAGGTTTTTTTCAGTATAAAATTCCTGAGTTGAAGGAGAGTTTCTTAAGAAGTTCCCCAGCTTCCTTGAGGAAAGTTGAATTCAAGTTGGTGAGTTAAGGCCCTTCTCCTCAGTTGGGCACTGACATGGAGTGGGAGGGGGTGCCCCAGCCACAGCCCCCAACTCATTTACAGTAATTCTGTTGAGGGACCTTCTAGCCTCTAGCCCCAAAGGCTCACTCCCCTACCTTGTGAAGCCCTTCTCCTTTAGTGAGCAATGAAAAGACCACTAAAATCACAGATTCGGCGATTTGAAAGAAGTTAGGTGGGAATGTGTTAGAGCAGGTAGGCAGACAGAGAGAGTGAGGGCATGGCTTCAGGGTAATCACCCAGTAGGAAATCAGTCCCATTAAGCAATTGCTGGCAATCTGAAGTTAATGGAAGGCCTGGGATTCCCCGATACAACTCAGGTCAGGGCACTCTTTTTTATCCCACCCATTGCAGAATAACTGTGCAATCATTTAATGTTTTTCTCTCCCATTAAACCAATGCTTCTCAATTGGGGGTGGGGGTACTCATTCTCCCTCAGGGGACATTTTTCTGGAGATATTGTTGGTTCTTGGACCTGGGGAGTAGAGAGCAGGAATGCTGCTAAACACGTAACAATGCATAGGACAGCCCCACAGCAAGAATCATCCTACCCAAAATGTCAGTAGAGCCAAGTTTGAGATGTTCATGGCAGCCTGCCTTAGATGAATATTCTGGAAGGCCATCAGTCTTGCTCAAAAGTTCATCCCCTGCACCTTGCCAGGAGCCTGGCACTTACTTATATGAGATACTCAGCACATATTTACTGAATACAAATGAGCCAAGACTTCCCTGTTTTCACTTAAGTACCAACAGGGACCCTCACCCCTGAACACACAGCACAGGCCTGAATATCTTCCTCCACATGTACATTCTTGACCCTGCTTCTGAGCTGCAAGTGTCTCTGAGCAGAAGGGGTTGCTTTAAAAAAGAACTGCATTTCTTCTGTCTCTGTCATTTCTGTTTCCTCTCTCTCCATGTTAAAATATGTGTGTGTGTGTGTATGTGTGTGTGTATGCATCTGCTCTTGAGAAGAAATGAATAAATGTATAGATAACTCTCCTTTGCTTATACCTACTATTTGGTGTTTACAGTGATGATCTGTGTTGAATGTTGGTCTTAAGAATGGTGATTTACTTTTAAGGATATTCATCACTGAATATATGTTAGTTATATAGGAAAGGGAGCTTATTATATAATATAATGAACACTTTTTTAGTGCACTGTAGCTAATTTTTAAGTTCATTTGAAAAGTATTTATCCTGTTAAGAAGAGAGTTCTGGATGGCTCCAGAAGCTTGCCTGCCAACAGAACTGGCCCAGTCAGTATGCATTAGCCCATCAGAGGATGCAGGAAGCCCCTATATCTAGCAAAGTCACTTCCTGTACCCAGGAACCTACCGTGTTTTATAGATGTCATTTGTCCCCAGCTAATATGTGGAATATTATAGGTGAAGTATTTAGTCTAGCAGTCTGACCCAAACCCACCCTCAGTGGAGTGATGAGTTGAAGGGACTATGTGAGCTCAACTTCATTTGGAGGTCTCTCCAAAATGAACCCTACTTCATATATGCACTGTGGTGCCCTTAGAAACTCACACACAACCCATGCACCATAGAGGGGAGCAGTCAAGTGGAGCAGCTCTAGGAGTTGACCTAGTTTGCAGGTTATTTTTCATATTTAAAATTGCCTCTCTGTTACATGAATTATTCAACTGAAACCATGCCAGAGAACAGGAAGAAAGATAAACATTCAGAGGTGTATGTATGTAGAAGGAACTGAAGTGTACATGTCTATCTTATATGTTTTTGTCTCTACTTCTATAGACTTCTTTTAAAAACAGAATCAAATTGCAATCTATACTGAGAAAAGTAGTATAAGAGAACTGGGTATGGTGGCACACACTTGTAATCCCAGCAACTCAAGAGGCTGAGGCAGAAGAATCACAAATTTGAGGCCAGCCTCGGCAGTTTAGCAAGACCCTATCTCAAAAAGGGCTGTGGATAGGAAAAAAGAAAAGTATAAGAAATAGCCTTGTGTCTGCCCTTAGGATGTTTTCAAGGATGTTGCTCATCTTTACAAGGACTCTTGAGAATAATTTATTTCTGATTTGGAACTCAAGAATAATTATGATTCTCCTGAGTTACCGGCTTTTTTTTTTTTTTTTTTTTTTTTAATCCTGGGCACAATGAGGATGGAAGTATGTTTTCTTTAAGACTCTTGTGAGGATGGTCAGAGCCCAATGAGCTGCCCACCCATGCACAGCAGGGCTTACACATTTGGGTCCTGGCTCCATGGGATACCCCTACCCTAATTTTCCTTTCTCTCCTTCAGCTACCTCATATTTATTGCCATTAATATGTGTGTCTTAGAAGCCTGCAGACATGTTTCCAGGAAAGGTAGCTAGGGCATTAGCAAGTGAATGTACTATCCTACACCATCCAACCCAATCTCACCAGCTGTTTTTGTTCTTTTGCAGATCGAGACACTGCCAGATGGACTGTTTCAGTGTAAGAAGCTACAGTGTTTATTCTTGGGGAGAAATAGCCTGACGGATTTGTCCCCTCATGTGGGTGAGCTGTCGAACCTCACTCATCTGGAGCTCATTGGTAATTACCTGGAAATGCTGCCTCCAGAGCTGGAAGGGTGTCAGGCCCTGAAACGGAGCTGTCTGATCGTCGAGGATAGTTTGCTCAATACTCTTCCTCTCCCTGTGACAGAACGTTTGCAGACTTGCTTAGATAAATGTTGATCAGAGACCTGTGCTGCAAAGGCATTTTTAAACGTATGCCCCAGGGCTTAAAAGAGAAATAAACTTTCCTAAGTTATAAAGATGAAACATGGGTGATAATTGTGATGCATCCTAACCAAATATCTTATTAAAGCCACTCAATATCTTGCCCTAAGTTAAACAGGTAAAAAGTATAAACACTGAACTGGAACTTTGTGAATAATTGATCTTTAACTTATTAAGATGTAAGAAGTACCCATTGAGGATGGGTTGAGGAGTGTGAAATTACTGAATCTTTACTTTGCAATTTTTCCCTTTAGGATAGTATAGGTTTCTTTCCTCCTCCTCCTCCCATCTTCATTTCTTTATTTGCACACCTGTTTTAACTGACTTCCTGTTTTGATATTTATCACCACAACTATAAAAACTCATCAGTATAAATTTCCCTGATGTAAATGCACCACTGTCTTTGATTTGTGTTCCTACTGTTTTTTTTTGAGGCAGGGTATATTATGCTTGGCAGAATTCCTTTTTGGCTTAATTGTTACTTCCTTTCGCAGCTTGCTTAAGTCTTCCTTAGTCTGGTTTCTTTCATCAACCATGAGGATCCCTGAGAAAACGCCCATCTTTGGCCTTTGCCTAGAACAGGGAGCCAGGGTACATAGGACATGTTACCCTCAGGGCATCCTGAAAATTAATGAATTCTTGAAAATTTCTTCTTATCTATCATCAAAGCCTTTTTTTATTTGTTAAAAATTTTTATATAAAATATATAAATATTTTCTATTGTATGGTCTCGGGTTCCATATCTGTGAGAATAATTTTTGTAAGGTACAGAGAACATAGCATTTCTTTAAGAACTAATGATACTTGGTTTGGGCTGTTTATGATTCTCAAGTTTTTGTGCACTCTGCTCCAAAATGTTTTTGTACTCTGCAACTAATTACTCTTGGATAACAAAAGCCTTGTGTTTTGTGCCCTAAAATATTCGGGGGGTTTCCTTGTGAGAGGATGGCCACATCAACTACCTTCTCTTCCCTAGTCTTTGTGTAATTGTACGGGTACAATTCTTAGTTATTTACAAAAACTGTGATAGAGGGGAGAGGGACAGATTTGGATTTTAAAATTGATTTCAAAATACTTTGTTAGGGATTTAGTAAATGTTAAAGCAAAATGTTTTTTTTTTCCTCCATCTGCATGATCTCGAGATATGATTATAAAATAAAACATTCAGCATCTATTCAGTGTCTAAGATGAGCTCTCCGAGCTCACAAAGATCCATTTAACTGAAATTCATCTCATGTCTTTAACTCTTCTGGAATACATTTTGCTCCTTTTTATAAAGAGCTTTGTGTTTGGCCTTATATTATTGTGCATCATGTTAAATGAATAAAATCAACTGACTCACTTTTGGGAAATGTACATTTTTAATATGTTTTTCTCCAATGGGTCTAAGCATTATGATGCCACCTCATTTTGGATACAACTCTGAAGTAATCTGTTAACTGCATCTAGAAAAAAACTGGAAGACATGATGGGTAAAGGGTACTGTAAACATGAAATTGTGTGCAGTATATGTTTTCCTTGCATTGTTCCAGAAAGATGAAAATGAGTCTTTAAAATATTAAAGTACAGTAAATACAGTTTCTCTCATCTGCCGCACATGCCTGGACTGAATGAAGTTCAGAGAAAAGAATTATTCACATTAAATGAAATTTTAGCTGTAAAGAATACTGAGCACCAAAAGCTGCCTCATACATTATTGCTTATTCTGAATGGGAAGGAACAGTGTAAAAATATACTTCTTACCAAAACTTGCCTTTAACCAGAACACTGAAGTTCTCAGGGAACCAGGCATAATGATCAAACTTTCTTCTAGGACTTCACAGATTCTGACTATATGCAAGGTTTTGTTATTCTTATTTCTTAAAATGTGAGTTGATGGTTATTTTAGTGCTTACCAATAGAATTGTCATATGTACTGATTTGGGCCACACAATTAGCCATAATTGGTATTTTAAAAAATCTTATCCTCTTTTACAGGAAGTATTTTCAAAATAAAATTCAGATTTGCTACCATTCACTTGACAAACTAGAACTCCTGCAGGATTAGTCATTGATTCCATTCAAGTGCAAAAGCCATTGGTTAAATCTTCCTCCTCATTTACATAAATTCAAGCAAATTGCTCCCAGGACCAATAATGAATACATAAGCTACTTTCCACATACTAGGGTATAGTTACTGGTGCAAACTGTTGCTCTTGATGCCATAATTTTCAAATGTCTTTTTATTTAAATCTTATACATCAATGTTTAAGTAGCTTTTTGAAACAACACAGTACTGACACAGTAAACAATGACACCACTGCTTGACCTATGAAATAATACGGTGTTGATACCACCTTTACTACATTGTTGGAGCAGATCTTTATTTTGCAAGCATAGATATTCACTTAAGAGAATTTTTAAATGAAGTTTGCTAGATTATAATTACGAGACTTTAGTTGGGTTTGATTTCCAAGAGTGTATTTTCCAAAATCTAAGTATAGAGAATTAAGTTTAAAACGTTTATTACTTGTACTAAAAATAGCATTGGTTCATTTTATTTGCATGCACACACAGACACAGAGACACACATATTCCATGAGTGCAAATTGTAATTTATTGGTTTTGGATATATTTAATATTTTTTCCAAAATTGCAAGAGATTGTAGATTAATTGAAGGATAGCAATTTTTTAAAAATTCACAACTTAAGTGTTCTATTAGTTTATGACATTTAAAAGAAAACCATTAAGTGTTTTTTGATCATCCCTGCAAAGATTTAGTGTTCTTTCCCCTAACCTACATCAGGGTATATCTGTGTGTCACATAGGTACTATATTTTTATTTTTTGCTCTCAGTCTTAACATTTCCCCCTTGAGTGTCATCATATTTTACTGTCACTTATTATTTATGTTAAAACAGGGTAAATGAGATCCTCAGGATCTCAGTGCTGTGAAAGAGTCCCAATAGGTGTGCTGCATTGGTTTATTTGCATAACATTGTTTGATGGAGAAATTTTTGTTTCTGTTCTTTAAGTGTTTCATGATTCAAATACTACGTTTAATTAAAATACTGCATAATATTGATGGGTTCATTAAAATAATCGAACAATTCTGTGGATTTGACATTATTTCAATAAAATTATCTGTTCATCTTTTTATATTCTCTTAGCAACACCCTGTTCATAAAAGGTATTTTATTTGCCTTCTTCACTCACCCACCTTGTTAAATTCGATCAGTACTTGTATAGTAACAGAATATATTAGTTCTAAAGGATTTTCAGTGGCACCTGAACATGTATTTATTGGAAGGGGGCAAAGCCCATGCCTATAATAATACCTGGATAGTTCTTTTTGCTTCCCTTCAGTATTTAGAGCTAATCTCGTAATCCTTCAGCCCTGCCAAAAGCATGAAAATAAACCTGTAGGTCCACTTTGTTTTCATTTACTGTACATTGCTTCAGTATCTGTGTTTATTTCTTTCTGGAAACAAGAGAAAGACTAGTGAAAAGAGAGGACAAGGTGTTTTGTATCCTGATTTGTATTCTGAAGACATATATATGAAATAATGGTTACAAAATGCCCTTAATGGTAATTATTTCTTATCTTTAGCTGGATATGAAATGCTGAAGCAATGAAAAAAACCTGCAATCCTATTTAATTGGTCTCTTTCTGTCTCTTGTCCATCACTTCTGTAATAGCAGGAGCTATCTACTAAGTACCATTGGTAATGGACTACAGTTACTTTCAACATTTTTTTACATAAACAATTTCATCAACACTAAGACATTAACACAGACTACATAAGCCAAAGTTCTGAGTTGAGATGGCTTACAATTAAACTTCATATTTAAATTTTGCATTTAACAATTATTTCTGTTGCTGAGAAAAACAAGTATGAATGCTTTTTTGCATGGTATACATTATCTCTAACAGAGATGGTGCAGTTTTAAAAATACAAAAGGTTATAGAATTAGAATGGATGTATTTGTGCACATACGTTGTGTATCAGCCTAAATGTTAACATTGTTCAAGACAGTTTTTTTAAATTCCTCAAATGTTTTGTTCTTAGTGAAATAATGGGCCAATCTTGAGTAGAGACATTTTCTTTTGTTAGCTCACAGTAAAATCTAGCATTTGTTATTTTATCTTTGTCACATATTTGGATGTGTATATAATTGGTTTTTGCTTCTGGTAATGAGTTATTAGAAAATATAAGATTCTGTTCAACTTTTTTGGCCCTCAGGTTTAAATTCCTACTGAATCCCTTGATTCAGTAGGTTTTGGTAAATTTTACTGTTTCTAAAGTACTTTTGTGTAATAAATATTCAATTTTTATAGTAAATAAAAAATAAATGGCAAATGAAAATAAATGCTGGAAGAAGCTGACTGTACTCATTTTTACCTGCATTCACTTGTCAGTGCCCAGGTTCAAAAAGGAATTCCCCATCTCATCCAAGGCTACCCTGCACAGTACTGCTACTATGTACAGAAAGATAGATTTTTGGATTTACTTGTGAGTTTTCAAAATATTCAACAAAATAGCAAGCACCTGAAAAGGGGGTGAATTAACTGGGGGTCTGGAGAGGGATGGGGCTCTGCCTCCTTCATGCAGGTTCCGTGTTTCCGAGTGCTCTTCTGTGGAATTTTTCAGGGACAAATACTCAGAAGTCAACTTACCTCTCCCTCCCTTATTGGTGTTCGTTCTGTCATTAGTGTTAGTTCAACACTGAATAATGAACCAGATAAAGAAAAAATAACTGCAAGAGAAGCAATTCTGAGAAGATTGAGTAAAACTCAGACAATGGAATTATTGAATAAAATATGCACATAATGGTTTGATATTTGAGATCAAACAATCTCACTTGAGCACACACAGATTCAGGTCCACATTAGGAAGCTGATACCCAGAATTTTTATCTGCTGAAAAACATATATACCAAACCAGATTATGAGGGAACTTAACTCTAATTTTTCCCTGAAAGTGCAATACTTAAAGCAAGGGGTTCCCCCACCTCCGATGCCATGGGAATGGAAGCACATGGAGGAAATGCAGATGCCTGTCTAAAGGCATCAGCAGGCTTCCTGGGAATAGTAGGTGTTTTGAGAGCTGGACCAACAGCCTGAGGATGCACGATGTCCCCCACAGACAGCAATCATCGTGGCTTTGTGTACCTCAGCCTTCAGGTCCTTCTTTCAAAATGGATCCTCAGAAATGTGACTAAGGGCTTGACTAAGGAAGAGAGGCTGCGTGGGCACCATGGAAGGCAGGGTTTCCTCTGGAGCTGCAGATTTTGTTCTGATTTCTGCTTCTGTTTTCTTCTGTTCCAGCCTGGTATTCTCAGTCCCCCTCATCTCCGAGGTCTAGAGAAAAGCATCTTATTGAAAAGGTACAAAGTCAGCCCTTGAACTTGAGCTTCACATTTACGTAAGAGGCCACATGCCAAAGATGGATCCAGGAAAAAAAGCCATTTTTTTCATGGAAAATACAAATCTCTCTTCATCCAATGTTTTCTCATCTTTCTCTCGTCTCGAGTTTGAAGTCTGTCTTCCCCTTAATCACCAATGATTTTAAAGTGTGGCCTGCCTGCTACAGAGATTTCCAAAAGTATTTCCATGAATACCTTGAATTTTTTATGCTTTTTTTTTTTTTTACACTTGCCTATTGTTCTCGGCCCATATCATTTTTTACTCTCTACTTCCCTCTGCTGCTGAAAGGAGTATAAATCAATCAGAAGCATACCCAGCAGCACCCACTAGGAAGTAAATACAGCTCCAGGTTCCTTCTTTTGGGAAAATAACATTCATGCTTGCTTTACCCAACAGAGCAACAGAGTCTTCCTACTTTCCTGCTTTTTTTTTTTTAACACCAAAGAACCTGCCTAGCCCCATTTCCTCACTGTTCACTTCTTAACCCATTCTATCCAGCTCTCTGCAGGTCCCACATTGTGTTCCTCCTAGTAATCTCTCTTACACAGACTATCCATTACTTATTTGGCAAGTACAGTGACATTTCCCCACAACCCTCACAGGCAGAGGGGAAGGGCTTTTTATCAATGTGTACAATTATCTTAGCCAACCTTCTTACCTCTGGAATAAGGACCTCAACTCTATAGGTAAAATACCTGTGGAATTATGAAGCAAATCTGACTCTAGAATAGTTGTTTTGAAGCCCTACCTGGCTTTCCTGATATGGTGCTAAACCACAATATCCCAATCTCTTGCTCTTACATTTAGTTTTGTCATACAAAATAATACAACCCCTTTACCCTATAAGATTTTGAGAATTTGTTATCCCTCAATCTCAGGGAGGACATCTCAGATGCATATAGGGCTGGGGATGTGGTTCAGTGATAGAGCGTTTGCCTGGCACACATGGGGTCCTGGATTCAATTCCCAGCACTTAAAATTAAGTGTTAGAAACACAAAGCCCCAAGCAGTAGGGTCAGCCCAGGTGTGAGTTCCCTGAGTGGTTAAGAATCTGACACTGCATTTAAAAACGTGAATATTCAATATTTGGTAAAGAGAAAACAGGACTTCTATTAGTAAAAATCATGGACCTTTATATGAACTATTTTCTTATTCCCTTCTTCAGAAACAAAATTCTAGCAAGAGTAGAGTTTAAATGTGATTGATCAGAAGGACAGGTGGGATCAGGGGTATAGGGGGGGGGGGTTCTCACATCTCACAGCATTTCTGTCAAATATCCTCAACTGACAATCTCTTCTCCCAGTCCTCATGAGCAGGTCTGACAACTGTTGGGCTCCCCTCTCCCCTCCCAGCACCTTTCTCCTTTCTTTCCTGGCCCTATGCTCTCCCTTTCCAGATTCACTCCCTCCAATCCCCATCCCAGTGTGAGTGTGTGTGTGTATTTCCTAATCCATTCATCTATTGATGGGCATCTGTGTTGATCCATAATTTAGCTATTGTGAATTGTGCTGCTATAAACATTGATGTGGCTGTGTCACTGTAGTATGCTGATTTTAGATCTCTGGGGAAAAGGCCAAGGAGTAGGATAGTGGGTCATACAATTGTTCCATTCCTAGATTGTTGGTGGTGGTTGGTTGTTTTTAATGAATTTCCACTCTTGATTGTACTAGTCTGCAGTTCCACCAACAATGTAAGAGTGTACCTTTTTCTCCACAACCTTACCAGCATGCATTATTGTTCACATTCTTGATCATTGCTATTCTGACTGAAGTGAGACAAAACCTTAATGTGGTTTTGATTTGCTAGAATTGCTGAATAGTTTTCACATATTTGTTGGCCATTGCGTTTCTTCTTTTGAGAAGTTTCTGCTTAGTTCTTTTGCCCACTTTTTGATTGTGTTATTTGTTTTGGGGGGATTGTTTGATGTTAAGGTTTTGGGGTTCTTTGTTTATTTTGGATATTAATCCCTCCTTGGACGAATAGCTGGCCAAGGTTTTCTCCCATTCTGTAGGCTCTCTCTTCAGGTTCCTTTGCTGTGCAGAAGCTTTGTAGTTTGATGACATCCCATTAATTGATTCTTGGTTTTATTTCTTGTGCTTTGGGGGTCTTTTTAAGGAAGTTGGAGGCAGCACCTGCATGATGGAGTGTTGAGCCTAATTTTCTTCTATCAGTTGTAAAGGAAGGAGAATGGGAGAGGGAATGGAAGATTGGAAGGAAAAGAGGGAAAGAAAAAGCAGAGGGAAAAGGGGGGATCATGAACTGAAATCAATTTCCATGCATGTATGAGTTTGCTCGGATGAACCCAACTACAATGTTTAACTATCAAGCTCTAATTAAAAGAGATAGAGCAGGAACAAGTTCGAGAGAGAGAGAGAGAGGAGTGGGGAGAGAAAAGTAGGTGGAAAGGTTTCTCTCCTGGAGTTTCTGAATTGCACCACTAGGGGGGACCAAGTGCCACCTGAGTGAAGGGCATCTCCTGGTTGTTTTTCCCCAAAGGGAAAAAAAGGGGTGTCTTCCATCCTTGCCTTGTTAGGCCTATTATAATGCATAAAGTGCTCATATCCCTTGAAAGGGGAAAAAGAGCAGTAACCAGTCACTTTTCCAAGTCAATCAAGCTAACCTTTTCAGATTAAATTGACCCTTGCTCAGGCACATACTCTACAAAAAGGGAGAACCTAAAAAAGTAGCCAAGTGAAGAAAACTTGATTCAGTTCACATTAAGAAGCCTAAGGAAAATTTGCTTGTGATATCAAGGCAGAACAAAGCACATTATGGACCTCATTCATGGTTCCAAATTGAGAAAGAAAGAATGAATTTTTTAAAAAAAATCTGACCATTTAACTCATATTCCTCAAGCTTAGAGACCATCACTGTAGAAGGAAGTAATACAATGGAGGATAAAAGAAACTTCACTTAGCACCTATTATAATGCCAGATACTCTAGGGCTTTCCATGTATCAATCCATCCAACATTCAAATTATAACCATCCCAAGGTCTCAAAACTGTTCATGAGAGGCAGGAGTCATATTCAACCTACATATCTGCATGCCTTTTTCTACATAGATTTAGCTGATTATTTAGCATCAGAATTTTCTCCTTTCATACCCACCTTGGTGTTTTAAAAACTCTGGTTTTCAACCTAGATGCCCTTCAACAGATGAATGGATAAAGAAACTGTGGTACATGTACACAAGGGACTATTTATTACTCAGCATTAAAATATAATAAAGTTATGGCATTTGCAGGTAAATGGATGGAGTTGGAGAATATCATGCTAAGTGAAGTAAGAAAATCCCCCCAAAAAACAAAAGCCGAATGTTCTCTCTGATAAGTGGATGCTGACCCATAAGGGGGGGGTGGGAGCATGGGGAGAATGGAGGAAATTTGACTGGGCAAAGGGGAGGTAGGGAGGGGGGCAGGAAAGATGGTGGAATGAGATAAATATCATTACCCTAGGTACATGTATGACTGCACATATGATGCAATGCTACATCGTGCACAACCAGAGAAATTAAAAATTGGGCTCCATGTGTGTACAATGAATCGAAATGCATTCTGCTGTCATGTATAACTAATTAGGACAGATAAAAAAAATAAAAAACTCTGGTTTTCAGAGCTCCATGGTCTCTTCTGCTCTCTTTCTGCCTACTGCATCCTCCTGCTCCAAATCTACCCAAATTTCTGTCTTCTGAGCTGAAGGGTCACTTCACATACCTTTTATTTTCCTCCTCATCCTCTAATGTAGTTCTAGAACCATAGAACTTTCCAACAGGAAAGAACCATAATAATTCCCTAAGAAAGTTGAAGAGGCTTGTTGGAGATCACAACCAAGGGAGGTGGATACAGTACCCAGATCTGTGGGTGTTTTTTTCACTCTGCTGGGCAGGCTATGAAAAGCAAAGACTATGCTTTTAACCAAATCCGAAGAAGAGTCAAGCCTAGTGCCCAGTCTTCT